TCCTGTCTGCTAACGGCTAATGGCCATAAAAGAGATGTTGAGTTAAAGACAGCCCAGTCTTGCACTGTACGAGTTGTGTGACGTAGGACATTTATTTAACTTATATGAGCTGCAGTTTTCTCATATAAAATGGGGATAATAATGTTTACCTCACATTTTTCTAAGGATTAACTGAGGTAACACTTACCTGGAACAGCACCCAGCGCCTGGAACAGAGCAGGCTAATTGTAGGTGCTTGACAAATATTCCCAGGAGAGAGGGCAGGGGAGGGGAGGATGCTTGGAGGGAGAGGGAGGGTTGTAATACCCCTATGCACGTAGCACTCTTCCATCCATATTTGAGAGCAAGCCAAGAACAGTGACATAAACAGAATTCTGCAGAACAGCCTTTGGGAAAAGATGTACACATACCACACACACACACACACACACACACACACACACACACGCACACGGTGGTTACGATTAGAATGTTTAAAAAGCATCTAATCAGATGCTTCTGCGTCATGGGTCCTGACAGTGAGCACTGATCTGAAAGAATGAGAGCTGATGATGGAGGGAGGGTGTGGCTCAGAAAAGGGAGGCAGGCGGGGATCGGAGAGAGATGAGAAGGAAGAGAAGGGCGGGAGGGAGGCAGGGCCGAGGGCTGGAGGGCGCCGCTGTCCTGCGCGAGCTGCTCGGTGCCACTTCTTCAGCAGCTGGCGAGCACGCGTGACCTCTGGTATCGGAAGCAGTCTGGCTGGAGGCTGGGAAAGACCAGCATTTCTGTTTAATAAATTGAACTTCTACAGCGCACATCCCACTGATGCTCTATGAGCCACACTCATGTCCTGTTTCCCTCCCTCCGCCTCCTCCTCTCCATGTCTTTCCTAAAAGACAGATAACTCATTAGCGATAGAAAATGATAATCCGTCGGGCAGCGCCCCCTCCACAGCCCTGCTCGGGGGAACCCCGACAGTCAGCGCACAACCCTCGGTACCGGCGGAGACTCAGCGTTGGTGCCCCAGGTCTGGGACTCCTGCGTGTCCACGTGCTGTTTCACGGCGGCACGGGCCGAGCGGGTGAGGCAGGGGTGAGGCGGCCGTTCAATACAGAGTCCCTGCGGGTGAGGGGTGATGTGTGGGTGAGGGGTGACGTGTGGGTAACGGGGTGGGGCGGCTCCAGCCGATCTGGAGGGTGGGGCGGTGTGTGCATCCTTCCTCACTGCACCTCAGTCATCACCCTCACTCCATCCAGGACATGCTGGGCTGGGCACCGTACTCAAGTACTTCCTGTTGTTTTGTGCCCAGGACCTTTGCACCTACTGTCCCTTCTGCCCAGAGTGTCTGATTTTACTCACCTGTCAGCCCCCAACTGAAATGTCTCCTCTTCTGGGACACGTTTCCTGACCCTGCAGGTAGCGTGGGCCCCGCCATGGACCCCCATGGGCCCTAGGAAGCTCCCCGTTGCTCCAGACTTGTTCATGCTCTTCCGCCTCTGGCCCGTCCACAGCGATGTGAGCTGCACCGGGACAGGAGCCGCTGCTGGCTCACTCCCCACTTCGTCTCTGTGGTGTTTGGCACATACAGGTGCTCATCAATGTTGAATGTCTATGTGGGTGAATGAATGGATGAATGAATGAACAAATGAACAAATTAGCATGTAAATGGATTCTCCTCCTATGTGTTCCCCAAGAGTGAATGTCATCAAAGACGGCGATTTTTTTCATTAAAATATATAAGGAACTTTCTTTCCAGCCAGGAATTGTGAACCCCAGAGCAGGGAAGTCCTGGCCAGCAATATTTTGAGAGCAGCTAAGAGAAGTCAGTGATCGACGTTGGCTGGGGTTGGAATTGGGGGAAATAGGTAAAATGGAGAGCTCTATTTTTATTGGAATTCTCGCTTGCCCGTGTCTTGCATGTTGCAAACTACGGATAGTTCCAGTTCTGTGCTAACTTGTTCGGTTTGGACGGCGAGGCCTCGTGCCCTCTGCACAGCAGCGCTCCGTTCCTAAGGGAGCGGTGATGGGCGTTGGCCTCAGTAGGAAGCTGCCTGTGAACACATCTCTAGAAGGTGCCATGCTTTATCAGGCGTTCGGTTCCTAAAAGATGGTGCAAGGGCGTGCCCCATGGCGCAGGCCTGTCCGTGGCCTGGCCGAGAGCACCTTTTCTGGGCTCTTCTGTCGTCTGTACCTGGGAGGGGCTGAAGCAGGGATCTGTGACCCCGCCTGCCCCACACAGCCTGTTATTCAGCCTGTCACTCGTTGTGGCAGTTGCAAGCGGAGCACCTCCCACCCCTTGACTCCCACAGGCAGGACCAGCAGTGTCCTCTGGCGCCTGATCACGTAAAGGATCGGCGGGAGGGAGGAGAGGGGTGCAGACACAGGGCTCGTGGCATCAGATCTTCTCACATACCCACCGCGGAGGAGGAGGCGCCTCCCGGTGCCTGGGCACCTTCCCTCTGGCTGTCGCTGTGCTGGAGTCTGGTCAGGTGGTTTCGGGCGCTTCCAGAAAGCCTGCGTTTGCTGCCCGGACTGGGCAATGTAATGGGCATTTCAGAGCCCGGCCGAGGGCGAGGCCAGCACGTGGCTGACCATGGCTGCCCCGCGCTCGGCGGTCAGCTCCCACACACGCACCTCAGCCCACCATGGTCCCTTAAAACCGGGGCGGTACTTGTGCCCCACAGTTTTCCTCGCCACTGATGAAAACCATCACGTAGTCACATTGTTTTGAATTTTATCCATTAGAAATTCTCGTGAATTAGTAAGAATTTCTTCTGCAACGTGCAAACGCCTCCTTGAAATCACCAGCCGCTCACAACTATAATTTAATCGCATATGGCTGCTTTCTTTTAACGCCTTGATGAGATCGGGCTTTTCCTAAGGGAGCTTGGGCGTTTTGATTGGACAAAGCAGGACCCTGGGGGGAACTGCACTGGGTGAGGGGCAGCAGCTGTGAGGCACCTCTGGAAAATCACTGGTGAGGCCCTCAGCCCGGAGGAGAGGACCCAGGACAGATGGAAGCGAGTGGAGACAAATGGTACTTCCTTGAACTCTTTGCTGTGAGCCGGTGCAGCACGGGCCTGGCTGGGTGAATCCCTGTGGAGGAGATGGCCCCCCAGGAACTGGGACCCACAGTAAGGGCAGCTGCATGTAGACTGAGGCCACGGGGCCTCCGCGAGAGCCCTCCCCCCACAGGTGAGTGAGCCCTCTCTGGCCGAGCACCTGTAATCTGCAGGTGTTAACAGTGCACTTCCAACTGCAAAGCACTGACTGTCCAGCGCAGAGCAAGGTGGCCGCTCTGCGCTGGGACACGCCGTGCCATCGGGAGAAGCAATGGGATGAGGCTTTGTAAAGACCCTGCTCCAACGCCCACAGTGCTGTTGCCAGCCTTTCTCCTGCTGGCAAATTACATTCCTTTATCCACGTGGTGGGACGCCAGGAATGACTTCAGGGAACAGCCCTGAGAGCGGGCTTACTCTGTGACAGGAGTTCTGAAGACAGTGTCATTTGGCACTTCGCAATTTTCTGTGATTTTGCACAGAGAAGATGGAAGACTGTGATAAGTATTTCCCACAAATGGCTCTAAAGTGAAACCCAGCTGGTGGCGAGTCTTCTGCTGTGTGTGTGGAGGCTGGAGCCCAGGTTTTCTATGAGAAACAACCGAAGAGTCGGTTTAATGAGTTTCTAACACTTTTTCCCTCGGTGCCGTGATGAGTCTGGATTACCTGTCTGTGTCTGGTGACGGGGCGATGCAGGCTGCTGGCATGTCAGTGCCCAGTGGAGGGGGCAATGTGTCGGGACGATGGAAACGGGGCTGATGGGAAGGGCCGTAGTTGCGCTGTAAGAAGTGAACAGTGTGCAGAGCTCATGGAAGGCAAAGCTGTTAGGTGGGTGCAGTCTGGGCAGCGAGGGGGCTGACAGCTCCAGGAGCAGCCGCTGGTTCTGAACTGGCTGTGCCGCTTCTGGCCGGACCACCCTGGGCAGATGGCGTGGCCTTTTAGAACCTGGGCAGCTGGGGCCTGTGTCCCTCCCCCAGGGACCTGCGCGGCCCCCCCAGCTGCCAGGCACCCCCTCCCTGCACAGCACCTGTGTCATTTTCTCAGTTCAGTTCAACCTCCTTGAGTTGAGCATGGCCATGTACTGATTGGAGGCCCCCTCGGAGCCCTAAGTCGTACTCGGTTTTGTAATATTTTTAAACCATAGTATGGATACCTGGCATCTGATGGGGTGATCGGGCCTTGATGTGCATATGCTGCCGTGTGCCCCCAGCCCCAGGATGGCCCTGCACCTGTGGCGGGAGCATAGTCCCTACGAATAGCGGGGGTGGGGGTGGGGAGGGCACAAGAGCCCAAACTGCACACTTCTGTTGAATCTGTTACAAAAATGCTTTTGAACCGACTGAAATAGTGTCGGGTCTGAAACACGGCCCTGCATCTCCAGTCCTTGCTGCACGGCCACACGCTCTCTATTTGTTACGGGTGAAACAGGTCACACTGTCTCGAGTTCCCCTACATGCAGGACACATGGCACACACAGCCTCTGCGCCCCAGGGGTGGGGCGGTAATATCAACACCCCGGGCCTGCAAGAGAGGTGGGTGGCGAGGAGCGCTAGCCTGGCGCGCGAGGGCTTCCAGTCAAAACGAGGGTGTGGGGCGTCCAGATGGGGAGCCTGGACGCTTCCATTCATTCGCTGAACAGATACCTACAGAGGCCCCGCTGGTCCACGCTGCCGGGTGCTGGGCTTCAGAGAGCGTGGAGGGTGAGAGGCATGTGGTGCTCATTGGAGAGGCGCCCGGCACAGGCCTTTTGTTCTGAATGCACAGCATCCTGGGAGCAGGAGGCCGCCCTGCGCCTGTGCCCTCAGGGTCGCTCATTTCCTCCGGGGGCTCCTGAGCAGCCACGGCCGGCGTGGCTCCTATTCACGTGGCTCCTATTCACATGGTTCCGCTCATGTGGGCTCCTGTACGATGCTGGCCACGGAGGAGGGAGCCGCTGACCGTGTGCCCTGTGGTTTCTTCCAGGATCTTCTTCCCGGGCTGCCACCCCGTCAGAGGCGTGCAGGTAATGAAAGTTGGCAAATTGCAGTTGCATCAAGGCATGTTCCCGCAGGCGATGAAGAACCTGAGGCTGGTGAGTGCCCACCGCGCGTCCTCTGCCTAGGGGCCCTTTGCTGGCTGCGGCCAGGCCATGCGAATTTCAGCAGCTCTCCTTCCATGTGTCTGCGTGCACACACTCACACGTGCACACACACGTGCCCATAAATGTCTGGCAACCAGCTCTGAAAACAACGGATTTGTGATGTTTGCTGATGGCTGTGCTATAAACATGCCCGTTATGGTTGAGTTTAAGCTGCTGATGTAAAATCAACCAGCTCCCGCTTTCAGCTGCACACCTCAGCACCAGTGTCCGATCAGAAAGGCCTAATTAAATCACACGTTCTCTCTTTCTACCACCTTTTCTAGTCACACTGGGTGTAGTAGAAGGGATGCTGGTTTCTGACTCGCTGATAGATTTATTAGTGGCTGTAGGTGGAGAACAATAGTTGGGAAATACCCGAGAAGATTGGAAAATTTGAATGTGGTGGAAGGATAATTGAATTTTAGGTTTTGTCTTGTGGTGTTAAGTTCAAAGACCATAATAAACGGCTGCCTGTCAGGCTAGCCCTTGACCGGCCGTCTGTCTGCAGTCCCCTCTGCAGCCTCCCCCTCCAGGCCTCCCTGTCTGCACAGCCAGTGTGCGCTGGGCCGCTTGGCGCTACCACACCCTGAACTGCCCACAGGAGGTCTTGGCGAAGCTGCTTCCTCTGCCTTAAGTGACTGTGCCCGCACCCACCCCAGGGCAGGCCGAGCGCGGCTGTTCCTTTAAGGCCCAGCTCCAATGTTGTCTTCTCCCTGTGGTCCTACCCTCTGTTCACTCTACCCGTAGAGTGCGTGTCCCATGGGAGCGGGAGCACCTGAGGCCCACGGCCCCCAGGACGCTGAGGTCCTTGCGGGCATCATTGTCACCAGCCTCGTGCCATGCAAGGTGCCTGGAGCTCAGGCAGGTGGTCGTTTGTTGGAGGAAGGAAGGGAGGGAAGGGAGGGAGGAAGTTCGGTCCAGTGCAAGGTGTTAACAAGTGCCCAGAAACTACACGGGAGCTGGGTTAGTGTTGGGACACGTTGTTAGAGTGACATTTGTTCGTCGCCTCCCAGCGAGTCTCCTCTGCCCCAGGCCCAGGCCCCCGCTGTGCTGGCCTTCCCACCCAGGCAGAGCCCCTCCCACCCAAACCACGGCCTCCACAGGAGAGCCCACGTGCCCATCCGGCCGGGCTGGCTCGTCGTGCAGCGACCTGCTGTCTGGGTTGCACAGGGAGCACCAGACCCTCGAGTGGGGTCTTCGGGGCCACCGGGCCCTTGTCTGCAGGGAGTGGCCCCGGCTCTGCATTAACCTCTCAGGAGTGTCCAGGTGGCAGGCCAGTCCCATAACGGGGCAGTTACCACATTTAGATGAGGAAAACAACATCCCAGGGATTCTTAAACATGAGATGCCTCAGTACCTGTTGCTGCTGCCTGCCTGCCTGATCCTGAGTGGAGTCAGCCATGATCAGCAGGAAGCACACGGGTTCCGAAGGCACACGCTCCTACGTCCTTTAAACCGTCTGCCCTCCTTGCCCCGACCGGGGACCACCTCGCTCTCTCGCCGTCTCAGGGAAAACCTCCCTTCTGGTCTGGCAGACACTTACCGGCCAGTCAGCTCAGACAGAAATACTAATTCAGGGTCTATTTTGTTAAGTTTTGACAGAAAAATAATGTGGAGGAGATTTCCCAAGCATGGGGCGTGCCCAGCCCAGCGAGTGGTGTTTGTAGGTGGTCACAGGCCCCTTCATGTTCACGGGGACGGGAAGTGCCCTGCGGCTCAGACACGCGCGATCGGCCTGGCCCCGTGACCGCTGGCGCGGGGAGGTCAGCGGCTAAAGTCAGTCGGAGGCAGAGCTGGTCTAGTTTGTTCCATTTGATGCAACTTGTGTTGATTAAATGCTCCTGTTAATCGAGTAAGACCAGTGTTGTCCTTACCGTTTAGTGGGGAGACAGACAGGTGAGCCGGTCAGTGACTCCAGGCGGGAACCCAGGCTTCCGCGCTAGACTCGCCCAGGGAGACGGGGGGGCTCTGTGGTGGGGCTTGGCGTGCGGGTCCCCTTGGGCTCCTGAGCTCCCGATGCCGCCCCAGAGGCCTCCGGGGACATTCGCATCTCTCCCCTCCTGTGAGGCTCCATTGCAGCCGTGTGTGCAGAGCTGGTGCAGGAGGCACCCAACAGCCTCAGCGCAGATGGAGCCTGAAGGAGCCCTGACCGACGTCCAGATGCTCACTGTGGGGGACGTGGGCCAGAGGGTGGGGGGTGCTGGCAATCCAGCCCTCCCGGGCACTCTCACTGGCCTTCACCCCCTCGTGCCCAGTTCCGTCCTGTCCTCCTCGCGGCCTGGTGAGGCTGCCTCCCTCCTCCAGGACATCCCTGGTGATCAGCTTGGCCGCTTCTGCTCCTGGCACCAGAGATAAGCCCACGTGCACCTGCTGGCTGCCCAGTGGGAGGTCTGGGGGCAGCAGCAGGGAGCCTGCCGGGAGGACGGGGTTGGCCTTACCCCAGGCGTCCGTTTGCCTCTGAAAGTCACTGATTATCAACCAAAAGGCAGACGCACATCCCCGCGTGCTCGGTTTACTAGTTTGCTGACTTGAGGCAAGTCTTTTAATCCCTTTGAAAATAATTTTCTTATTTGAAACATGAGAATAATAGCCCTGGCCAGTTCAGCTCAGTGGATAGAGCGTCAGCCCGCAGACTGAAGGGTCCCAGGTTCCATTGCGGTCGAGGGCACGTACCTCAGTTGCAAACTCGATCCCTATGTGCGAGGTAACCAATCGATGTGTTTCTCTCACATTGATGTTTCTCTCTCTCTCTCTCTCTCTCTCTCTCTCTCTCTCTCTCTCTCTCTCTCTCTCCCTCTCTCTCCCTCCCTCCCTCCCTCCCTCCATTCTCTCCAAAACCAAAAGAGAGAGAGAGAGAGAAAGAAAGAATACAACCTATGCCATAGAGCTGCTTTGAGAAGTAGATGCCCTTGTGAGTGCGTTTTGTCAAGCCCCAAGCCTCCTGGTGCTCTAACAGGTTATTATCTTATAGAAACTCTCGCTCTGACGATCCCCAGCGACCTGGTCGCTTAGCTCTGTGTGTGGTCTGGGTTACACGGTCGTTCCCCTTTTAAACTGCGAGGCTGTGTGCCCACTCCCTCTCGGCTCACAGGGGCACGGCTGTTTCCCTGAGGTGAGCGGGAGTTCCTCAGGGACCCACTGTGTTCCTGTGCGTCGCCTGGTGCCGCGAACAGACACGCCTGCCCCGGGCGCAGCAGGTCTAGCAAGGCTGTGCGAGCACGAGTGGACTTGGGTAAATGGAGGGCTTTTGCGCCCCACGCCAGCCCATGTTTTCAGCCGTATTTGGTTAGTGGCCAGGTCTGCTCAGGGCCTTTGGTCCACTTGCTGGCAGGGGCTTGGCCCAAACACGTCCCTCTCCTCTCCTCTCCTCTCCTCACAAGCTCATGCGCCCTGACATCCAGCGGCAGGTCAGTGTGTGCTTCACAGCTGCCTGCCGAGCCGTCTCAGGGCTCAGGTCAGCGGAGAGGAGAAGGGAAGATAATTTGCCTTTTGACACGATGTTCTCTAGGCTGCACCCGTAGCTACTCTCTTTTGTCTCCGAAGCTCTGGAAATAATGGGACGAAACAGCTTGAATGGGGGTTCCAGAGGCTGGGTTGAAGGTTGGAACAGGATCAGAAAAGCTGCAGAATCAGAGATGTGTGGCAGATTCCATTAGGCCCAGCCCCCTCCAGGGGGACCCCTTCGCCCAGCCCCCGGTGTAGGCCTCCGCCGCCCCCCACCCCGCCTCAGAGAGCCTGTGACTGCGGCCAGGGCTGTCCTGGGTCCCTGGCAGGGCCCCCTCTCACTTTCTCCTGTCTCTGCTCTGCTTCCCCTTCTTTCCATTTATTTCTCGGAGGATTTTGTCAGCCACCATCTGACCTCTTGGGCCTCCGGGGCAGGCGTCCCATCCTGCTGTCTCGTCGGAGAGCCTGTTTCTTTCCTGTGCGCTCTGCCCACTGCCACCCCCTCCCCGGGCCAGGTTGATCTCTCTCCTGGGCCTGACCAGGGAGCACAGGCCGCAGCCCTGGGCATTGTCCCTCTCGCTCCTGCACAGTTAGCGGCGATCCCAGCACATGCGGGGACTCTGAGCGTACGTGCTGGGCGCTGTGGGCTCAGCGGCATCCGGTCTCCAGCCCCTCAGAGCGGCCTCGAGCAGGCAGTTTGTTCCTGTTCCTACCTACTGCCGCTATGCTTGCCTCTGTGCTCATGTCCTTGTCTAGGAATCTGATGAGAACTGCTGACTCACCAGAGAAAAATCTACAAACACACACACACACACACATTTGGTGAATCGGGGCGGGAAGGGGCTTGGGGAGCACCTGAGGCCTCTCCATGGACTCCTCCCTGCCCACAGCCTGCAGGTGTCTGACATCACACTTAAGGGGCCGCTGGGAGGGGAGCGGGGAGGACGGGGGCAGGCAGATGACCTGCCTGCTGTCAATACGCCTTCTGAGAGGTGTTTGCAAGTCCCTGGCTCTGATGCTGATGAGTGTTCCCTGCTGACCTCCACACAGAGAACCTTCGTTTCAAGAGTCCGTTTCTGAACTAAGAAAAGGAGAAGAGAATGGTCAGCAAAGCGGGAGCGTAGTGATTCAGTCCTATTACAAGAAACAAGCAGAGAGGTACCGACCAGGAAGTGCAGCCCAGCAGGACTGGGAGCCAGTGGGGAACCGGACACCCTGCACCCGGGGAAATGAGGTGGCCCCTTCCTCCTGCGGGAGCAGGGCCAGAGGAAGTGGCGAAAACGGGGTCTACGCGAAATTCAGCGCCTCAGCGGACACTCAGCATGTGCCGGTTGCAGCTGAAAATCACTCCTCAGACAGGAACCAGGAAGATCGCAGTTTTAATGAAAAAAAAAGAAAAAGAATGGATATGTGCCAGCTCCAGATAACAGGCATTAGGAGGACCTGACGGAGATCTGGAGGCAGACATCCTAAAAGGCCTCGATGAGCAAGGACAAACAGCCTCAAGA